TATTCTACCCAATATTATTATTTTATACTAAAATGTTTAGTATAAATATGGACATGTTTGATGTTCAAATTTAATCTTGAGATTTGATCTTAATGAATTCCATATAAGTTTTCAAAGAGTTGAAAAAGAGAGAACTAAGAAATGTTCTAAGTTCTTAAGAAGAAAATTCAAGTGTTGAATAATCTCTCAAAATACAAGAAAGAGTTCTTGTAAATCTTATCATAAATATATTGATATTTAAGTTAAGTTTAAAAGGAGTTTTAAACTTAGTCTTAAGATAAGATTTGATATTAAGATTTGATCTTAATTTTTCAAAGAATTGAAAAAGAGAGAAAAGAAGAAGTGTTCTTCAAAATCTTCAAACTACAAGAAAGAGTTCTTGTAAAAATTTCCTCATAAATATATTCCAAACTAATTGAATAAAAACCGATTAGTTTCTACTAGCGAAGGAACTAGTTCGGAACCGGACTTCAAAAGGTGGATACGTTTAGAGGGAAGACACGTGGATTCCTTAAGCGAGTAAACACAAAGTATTGCTGTTACCAAACCGGGAATCGATTCCCTCATCCATCGACAATTTTGAAGGAGTTCAAGACTAAGGTAAATTTAGAATTTAATTACAACAAATCAAAATTTGTATTATTACATGTTATTAAAGATGACGATCTGTTAATTCGCCATATGTATGCACGAGTAAAGTATTTAAAGGTTAAATACTTGTTTTGAAAAATTTTAAATTCCGCTGCATATAGCTCGTACAGTACAGGCGAACCCAACACAGGGAGCCATCCTCGAGGAATGAGGAGCTCCTCGAGGAGTGGAGAGTTCCTCGAGGTGAATGAAGTCGACCTCGAGGAGTGAGTAGTCTGACGGTTCTCGCGGTAACCTTCTCGAATCGTCACGCAATGACTCGACATTTGTTCTGATCGAGTCACCCGTTATTACAGTTAATCGTAATATGGCTATATCAGCAATGTTATGGTCATAATGAAGGGTTTGTTGATTGCCTCTTTAAACCCGAAGGGGGTAGGTATTTATACACGAAAAAGGTGATTATGCATTAAATTTCAGGTGCCAGTTAGGGGCGTAGGGTGGCGCCGCTTGTTTCCATACAGAATTGGATGAGACAGATTGGGCGTTCCTGCCAACTTTGCCAGTTTTGTATAAGACGATAAAGGTTATCGTCAATCTTCCTTGGGAAGCTTTCGTAGGTGATCGGTGGGCCGATCGGGTGATTGACAATCCTAATCCCATACGTTAGGAATGCCTGCAGAATGGATCTCGTGTCCTGGGCCCGGTCCTTTGTCCTTTGGACTTTGATTTGCACTGGGCCATGCTTTCTCTTATGAACATGGTGATAGAATATTTTAGGGGTATAACAGTCTCCAATTAAAACAATTTGTATTAGTTAAATAAAAATAAAATATCTCTTACCTTTTGGAAAAAAAATCTCTCTCTGGAGAAAATCCCTCATCCCCAAATCCGAGTAAGTCGTCGTCTTCAATTTACTTCCTCTAACCTTCCTCGGCGAATGGAAACCTCTGGCCAGTGGTCGCCCTGAACGCTCGGCCCACCCCTGAAGTTGTACGCCTCCGATGTCGCTGTGGTTGTCGAGGATTGGTGGTCAGACCTCGATTGTCAGCGGGCCTGGCGGTGGTGAGCCCGATCTTCCATGGGTCGACGATTGGTCTCCCGTCTGCCGATGGGTCTTCTATAATTGAAGGTATGTTCTACGATCTATTCCGAGTCTTCTTCTATCGGCTTCTCTTTCCGACAGGGCCTCCGATAGGGATTTGGATTCAGTCGCTAATGGCCTTTGGTGGTGTGGGGCGGAGTGTGATTCTTCGAGGGTGGGGCGGGGCTCTGGAAGCTTCGTCGTCTTTGATGGGCATCGGAAGTGGGGACCGAGCAGCTCTCTACCCTCTGGTTCTCTGGTGTTGGGAACGTCGGGGATTCGGATCTCCTAAGCCTGGCTAGTGGTGTTAGGCGGGTTCAGAAGGTGCTGATGTGGGGGGATGGTCAGTGGTTCCTTCGGTTGGAGGTGGGTCGGTTCGAGTTAGGTTCGGGGTCTGGGGTTGGCTTCTGTATAGACATTTAGGCAGTTTCGGGAGCTGTGCCTTGGGCTTGGGATCTTTCTTGGATTCGATTGGTTCTCTGCTGGTTTTGAGTTGTCTGGTTGGCTGGGGAAGGGCTTTGTGTGTTGTTTAGTTGTTTTGTTGCTGTAGTTATTTTTTTTCCGTTTGTGTTGTCTGGTTAGTGTTAGTTATATTTTGTATTTTTGGTTTAGGTCGTTGGCCCCTGTGAGCCCGAGTGTAACCTTATTATCCTGTTGGGATCCTACACTCGGGCATTATCATGTTGGGATCTTTGTTGTGTTAGGTGTTTGTGTTGCGAGTTTGTTTTTCTAGCGTTGCTAGCAGGCTCTAGGCGATCTTCATTGCTAGCAGGCTCTAGGCGATCTTCGGATCTGCCTCCCAGTCTTTTCTGTCTTTGGTTGTACTATTCAGCCTTTGGCTGTTTTCTATTCGCCCTTTGTGTGGTTTTCATTAATATACTACCTCTATCGTTTCGGGAAAAAAAATTTAAATAACTAATTAGTCTTATTCATATTTCTTACTAATTGACATATAAAATAAATCAATAATTAGCCTTTTATTTTCCAAAAATGAAAACAAAGAATATGGAGAGAAATAATCAGTATTTTCATTTTCTGAAAATAAAAGGAAACGAAAGTAGGAAATTCTTAAAAAAGTAAAAAATTACGGCTACGGATTTATAAATGATTCAAAAGCATAAGATTTGATTTTAGTTTTTTACAAAAAATAAAAATAAAATAATTTTTAAAATATTTCATTATTTAGTAAGTCAAATCTTTTAATTAAAAAGTCAAAACTTATTATTTTTTTATTTTTTTAACATCTCTTTCAATATATATATATAGGGAAAAGTAAACTTCTTTGTCAAAGAAGTAGAAAAAAAAACCTCGCTTAATTGGATAAAGGGAAGCCTGAGAGCATCTGCAATGCATTACTGTTAACTGCAAAGATAAGTGCCATGTCATTATTGAAGACCATGTCTTCATATTTATCTCTTTAATGAGTACTGTCATGATCTAATTTTTTGTGACGTGGCTTAACAATAGTCAGGCTCACTGTTTGAAGTCAAAAGGTGCATTCAACGGTATGACTAAGAAAAAAAGGTCCCAAAATCTCTAGAATCGTGGGCATACTGAAGAAGAGGGAAAAAATCGCGGCAAAAGCAGAAGCAACACTAACGATATGAGTCTCCAAATATGTTTAACCAAGATTTGAGTCTCCAAGTATGTTCAAAATCAATATTTGAGTCTCCAAATATGTTTAAAATCAAGAGTTGAGGATAATATGATAGTTATCATTTAACAATTCTCAACATGTTGTATTCATGTGGAATAACAAATTCCAGGTTTTAAGTATATATTTAGGAGAGTTACTAAGGCTCAGTCAATCTATTAAAATTTTAAAAATAAGTTTAATGCATATAGCATTGAATATGGAGCCGCCGAATACACCAGCTACGCCTAGCATCGGAAATGGATGCATCAACATGGTTATTAAGCGCATCTGACCCTGACCAACTAGGTTGAGCACAGACCAGCAGAACCGCACCTTAACTTTCCTCTCCTATTGGTCGACATGAAACAAAAGGACTCGTTCAATCTATTAAAATTTTACAAATTAGTTTAACATGAATATTTTAAAAAATAAATGTCCTAGTCAACAAGAATGAAAGATAGTGCATTGCACGTAATATTTGACTGTTGGTATTCCTAATGTCAACATTGGTATCAAGAGGATCAATTATCTAATTATGTACAGACACGTGGCAGGAACATTTTAACATTCACATTCATACACTGGAGATGCTCTGAGGAGTCTGTACACGCGAGCAGGTATGAAAGAGTTTGAACCTCTAGTAGTTAACCAACTATGAACAATCTAGATCGAGCGATAGAGGGGTCTGGACAGCACCCGAATAGTCCCATCTCAGCCCGACCAACAACAACAGAGATTCGTTTCCGCCCGAAGATTTCACTCTAAAACTCAAAATCGTTCGTGAAAAAAATCAGAGAAGGAAATAGAGATTGTAACCCACAAAATTCATTTGATTCGAGAAATTAATTTCTAAAAGATTTTTTCTGTTTATAAATTCAATACATGAAATTTGTTGTTACAAATTTCTGGCATGCCCAAGGCACTTTCAAGATGACATCGTTTGGATTTCGAGTGACATTTTGAGACTTTTAAGATTTTGGAGAAATCTTATGAAATCTTATGGGTTGTCTTCGTTTGGGATTTCAAGTGACATTTAAAGACCTTTTGAGATTTAAGATTTTTTAAGACCTTCAGATTTTGGAGAAATCCTATGAAATCTTAAGTCTAAAGTTGGGATTTGAAGTGAATTTCGTATATGTTTTTTTCTTTAAAAATCTCAGCAAATTTTAAGAAGTTTAACAAATCATAGTTTCAAATAAGTTAAATACCTCAGGATTTTATAAGACTTATTAAATCCCAAACTAATACCTCAAGACATTTAAAATTTTTGAGAAGTCTAAATTAAATACAATAGAATTTATGAAGTCTTAAAAATCTTTGAAAATTCCAATTGAATACATTATTTAAGCTTGAATGTGGGATTTTGAGTGATATAAAGTTTTTTTCAGAAATCCCAACAAATCTTAAAAAATTCTAATAAATTCTAATATTAAGTTAAATATCTCATAATTTTGTAAATATTTATAAAATTCCAAATTAATACACTTTGTTAAGTCCTAATTTTTTTTTTTTAATGTCTCAAAGTCTTTTAAAAATTATAAATGAATACACCAATCTTCATGGTCTGGAATCACTGACAAATGAGAAAGGTAGTGGCCATGTTGGGATATGCCCCGATGCGGAGATATGGTGGAGTTATTCCGATATGCTAGGGTAGGTCTATCTTGTAACTCTTCCATGAATTAAGGGGACGAAGTAGGAACGAAGTAGCTCGACCATAGAGGAGAGAGTTAAAAGACTTAAAGGAGAGGATTCTGCTCGTGAGCGTAATGGTATAAGCCTGCCTGACTGTGAGACCGACTGGTGCGAACAGAGACGAAAGTCGGCCATAGTGATCCGGGAGTCCCGTGTGAAATTCCTTTATCCTTATCCCTCTGAAAATTCTCCCGATGAAAATCCCCGCCATTGTTCGTTCACTCTATGCTCCCCCACTTGACCTACGAAAAAACCCACATTTCGTTAAATGCAGACCGTTTCTCGACGCTCTACTCCGGCCATTTTCTACTGCCTTGACCGAAAGCGAGGAGTTGAAGGAATTCACGGAATACATGGATAACCTCAAGAATTACGAAAAAATCGGCGTTCCCACAGGAGCAGGTACCGATTCTGGCGATGGGTTCGATTTGGGTAGGATGAGTCGGTTGTTGCACTGTTTGGGCAACCCTCAAACCAAGTTCAAGGTTAGTTTTTTATTTGTATCTATTTGGATTTC